GAGACTTGCTGGCCGTTTTCGAGTGGCTCCGGGGCTAATGGAATATCTTGAGATCCAACCGTTGGAATGTCTGCAAACCAAGTGCATTTGAAAGCTGGTTGATTCTTCTATTAGTTGTCCAATTTTGAGGTGATCAGACGGTGAGAAGGTCTTCGTCTCTCCATGAGAGTTCTGACGGTTTGCATTTATCCAAAAGAGTCTTTTTGTTCCAATTTGTGCCTCTTTATCCCAAATTACCTGAAAAGTCTTTTAAAATCCGAAAACATAGAAATCCTTTGAAAAACTTTGAAAATGGAGTAAAAACACCTGTAAAAGACATTAAGGTGATCCATAAAAATGGTCAAAATCCGGTGTTATCAGTAGACAATATCTTTTAAAAAATCTTTGTCCAAAGTATTTATATCATCTTTTGGAATTACCACTCTTTCCGATGGGTCAATACTATCAGCGCTCAAAATAAACTCTTTTCTCACCTATAGAATTAGACAATTAGAGAGTTCTGAGATATTCAAAATCTAAGTAGGAAGACGTGTTAACATATATTGTATTATCAAAGAAATAATACTTGTTAATTGTGAAAGCATATACTTGTTAATTCTTTCGACATCCAGATTTTTTGGGGCCAAAATAGCTCGTTTCTTAAAAAATGTGGGGTCATCTCTATTAGCAAAGGATTCTCCATATATTTCCCTTACTATAGTTTTTACTAGATCATCACAATCCTTAATTAATAAGTCTTCTGGAATTTCTATCTCAGTTTCTCCATCATTAGGCTCATTTATTTTTTCCTTCTCTGATTTCTAGAATCCATTTTGAAAAGATCTTATATCATTTGCATCACGCTCACTTAGACCGGTGTGTAGTTGCATTTTTTTATTCAGCCGTAGTACCTTACATTTTTCCAAAGCTTTGATGCATTCAACGCAGCCATTACTGTTATATTTCTACCATGACTACCTGCCAAAAATCTTCCCCAAAAACAATGACTTTGCCTCCAATAGGTTCTTCAGATTTCATTATGTCTTGCATGCTTCTGTCGAGTATCTCGAAACAGAGTTTATTCATCATTGGAGCTTCATCCCAAACTATTAGCTTTGTTTCTTTGATCAAGTCTGCTAAATGTGTACCAGATTTCATCGAGCATGTTGTCCTGTTATTGATATTTATTGGAATTCCAAACTTAGAATGGGCTGTCCTACCCCCTTGTAATAGCAATGAAGCAATTCCTCTTGATGCTACATTTAGGACAACTTCACCTTTAGATCTCAAAGCAGCGCCTAGAATACTCCAAGAAATGTCTTGCATGTGCCTCCAAAGCCATAGACAAAGAAAACGCTGCTCCTATTGCTTTGAACAACACTTAGAATTTTATTATAAACACCCAACTGCTCTTCTGTGATCATTGTCATGTATTTAATATGATCTTTAAGTATTTTCGTCGTTGAGCAGTTGATTGTTTAATTTATCAATTTCAATATCGTCTGCCTTTGGTATATTGTCAAAATTGGCAAGAGTATTTCCATGACAACTCATTAACTTTTCGATCTCGGAAAGAGTGAAAATATTTATCTGTTCCTCTGTTAGCACCAAATCTACCAAAAAAAAATGTATAATTGATTGCATCAGTTCAACATACAGAAGTTAGAGTCATTAATAAAATAATATATTTTTGAGATATTTAACTGTGAACATGTTAAGAGAAGTTTATATAGGTAAATATATACCTTCTTTCTTCCGTATTTTTTTTTATTTGTACAATATATCTTTGGAGAGTATTTCCCATGAAGCGTTCCAAACTCCAAGTACCGAACCTACACTATTTGAGAGCATCATGATAACAAACAATTTGCGTGTATATTTTGCAGAATACCAGAAACTGGCCTCCTTTATTGCTTCAATATATTATTTGTCATCGTCTAATAATCCGTGTGCATAGCAAGCATCTTTGAATGTCTCATAGACTACACCTTTGTAATTTCTTATATCCTCAAAAAATGTTGCGCGTTGAACTTCATTAAGCAGTAGTCACAAGTAAATTTGACCTAGTGTTTGAGATACGAACACAAGCCTTCCTATAACCTTTTTCCATTTTCTTGTCATTGGTTCTGAGGATCTTGTTTTTTGGTGCCAAACAAATTTTATAACACTCAAACCACGATAGAAACTTAGACATACCGGCAGATGGTTTCTCAGAACCTCCTCAATGTGTTTGTTTGGTTTATACATTAGCATCTGCTGATTAGGCAGATGGAATGTTAGCTTCTCAACCGCTGTACTTCGATATTGTATTCGGTAGGCCTCTATCCGCCAGCAAGATTCATAGGGTGAAATATAACTATAATAGAAGCACTTGTTTTCATTAGTTTTAAACAGATAAACACTTTCCAAATTATTTATAGTCTTAAAGTTGAAGGTAATTTTTCTAACCTGCAAGTGTAATGCATTTTTGTCTCGTTTTATTTATCTTTTTCGGCAACACCAACTCGCACATAATCAGCTCCCTTGTTTATATATTTAAACAAATACTTGATTGAACGGGTCTGATTGCACCACTCGATGTTGATAAGAGCACAGTAATGCAACAACAACTCTTTATTATATGGTATAACATATGTATTATCACAATCAATCCCTTTCTTTTGAATAGTTTGCAAATCCCTTCTTCTCTTATAGAGAGGATATCCACCTGCATCAATGGTAGTTTGTTAACAATTTTTTTTTGGGAAAAACTTGGAATATTTACCGTTTACCATGCAAACATATTTTTATTTACGCCTCCACATGGTCCATGAATCATAACGTCACCTACAACTTCATGCACTGATATTTAAAAGAAGTTTTAACTCCTTGTATGGTATTTCAACACTGATAATCTCGTCTATATCCTATGGCGTTCGTATCTTTGAGTCTGGATGTAGGAAAAAAGACTATATTTGTGTGCGGTAAACCCTGTTTTTAAAACTCAATGGTATATATAGCTGAAAAGGAAACCAGACAATGTAAAAAATATTTTTATTTTGATTATGTTTTTATTTTGATAATGTAAATAAAAAATATTTAATTGATCATCTTACCTACGTTACATTTACCAAATGTATTCTTCTTAGTTAATCTGTGCATGAGATTGTCCAACTTCATTTTGAAAATCCTACAACAAATATCAGGTCTGTCTTCGGTACTCAAATTATGCTTTTTAAGATGTCTAGTAATTTCAGGCCACTTAAAATTACACGTTATTGTGATAAAAATATATGGGAATCCATAGTGCTTGCATGTCGCCTTTGCATCAAGATAATGTTGATTCATGTACCTCAATCCTCCTGTATATGAAGCAGGCATATAAACCTGGTTGCCTTAGTCAGAAATGTTACAATTTCCTTTTTCTGCAGACTTTGCAAGTCGTTCATAATTGTCACATTGACTGTTTTTCTGATTTAAATAAAGATATCTCAATCTGTTTGTCTCTATCATCATGAAAACATCGACCAGGAATTGTTGATATAATTTTCCCGACATCATTATGGTAGGTGGTTTACCAAATCTCTCTTGAAGATAGAAAGCAAAGAACTCACATTGTTATTTTTTTTTCCGTCCAGCCGTATCCACGAAACCTATGTCAATTCACTAATGTGTTGTTGATTCCCACTTGTACATTCTAGAATTATATCTCGTGAGTTCATTCCCAAAACAAAACTCATGATATCAAAGCAGCAACTTCGTTGGCAGTTGGCAGATTATGTGTCCTCCCATCTGTATCTCTCTCATAAATCAATTTTAATTTCAGATTTTGATTATTTGGAGTCTCACTGAATTGATCTCGGCCAGTTCTAAATGCTTTCACAAGAGGGTTGTGTTTATCTAGCATTTTTTTAAGAAGGGAGACCATAGACTCCCTTATGCCATTTGTAGAACCTGTTTTCCTATAAAATAGTAACGATAGGGGTGGTTTATAATCATGGTTCTAAAATTAGTTATAATTGTCAACAAAAATACATATAAGAGAAATTTTATCCATATAATTATCTTAATTTTTAAACGATGTAGGTGGTTTATAATCATGATTTTCTTTTTAAACGACAGTCCATTAATTAGATATATATATATATATATATTACTTTTTAAAAAAACTTTTTTGTTAGATTTTGTGTTAAATTTTGTTTTTTATTTATTTTGAAACGACATTCCATTACTTTTTAAATATATTCTATTTTTTTGTTTCTTATAACATTTTTGCTAGATTTTTTCTAAATTTCAGAAATATAAAAAATGGTAAATATTAAGAGATATAGATTTATTTTTTGTGTTATTTTTAAAAAACGTTTTTGTTTGTTTTTTTATAAATTTTGGTTTAATATAATTTTAAAAACGATTTGATTTGACAACAAAATTAAGCATTTAATAATAATAATTTAGACCGGTTTGTTTGAACGAATCAAAAAATGACACATAGTTGGAAAATAGGGCTAAACGGTCTTTTTTCAGCTAAAACTCATTTTAGAGCTGACACGTAAGCGAAAAACTCTGAAATTTATTCTGAGCGTGACACGTAAGCAAATCACTACACAAATAAGTAAATAATAAATAGATAGATAAGATACTGGTTAATACCAATTATTAACAAATAAAGAATTTTCTGAAATACATAAAATTAAAAAAAAAAAATTATTGACATCGCAATTTTATTTTTTATAAGTTGAGTGATCCGTTTGTGTTTGTATTTTTAGTTCATTAAAACTTGAATCACAATATGTTAATTATGTAATCAATTAGACTTTGAAACGATAGTTGAATTTCAATTTTTTGGCACTTTAATTTAGTTCCTCCGTAATTGGTTGTTCAAAGAATAGGTAAACAAACTACTTGATTCAAATTCTTTCACATAATATTTATGATAAGTTTCTCAAATCTCTTATCTCAATAACAGAACAATTTAAACAAAATATAGTAATTATAAGAATCAAAAAAATATATTTACATTAGTAGAAACAAAAATGGTTGTGTTACAAAAAGAAATGTTATAGGTGAGGAGGAGAAGGGTTCATCATATCAAAAATAATTATACTTTGGAAAATTAAAAAAATCATACAATTTGAATCCATTCTCCAACGCTAGGAACACCATTGTAGACAGCAGAGAGAAGATAATAACCAGGAGGAGCAACATTTCCACTAGGAGGAGCAACGGATTGAATCTGATGAAAATCAGGTTTCACCTTCTTGATATCATTAATTCCCAACAAGAGCAACCTCATGTTCATCGACACAGCATGTGTAGTAAAAGGTGGTGCCAACATCGTAACCATGACATTCTCTTTTGTCACATCCTCTTGCTTAAGCTCGATCCTCACGTTAAACATTTGTCCATACTTTATCTGTTTTGGTGTGGCGCTGGTCACGATCTTCGGCCTCATGTTGGCAAGAGCCGGGTCAAGATAAGGTGGTGAGAATTTCTCGAGTCTGACCTCGGTCGGGAACTCAACGTCGTACTTGTATCCATCGTTGGTGTTGCTTCCACCGACAAGGACTTTACCATCAGGAAGAGCGATGGCTATGGAATGGTACATGCGTGGAATAGTGGAAGGAGCAAGCTCTTTGAAACGTTTGCCTAGTGGCTTGTTAGGCATGTACAAGAGTGGTGAAAGATTTGGATCTTTGGCACAGTTCCATGCGGAAGTTCCACGTTTCGCGCCGTTAACTATAAGGACTTCTCCATTAGGGAGGATGACAATGTCGCTCATGACGCGCGGCATTGGCATCATCTCCGTTTTCCATACAGGTTTAGCACTGTTGATGCCCATTCTTGCGCAATCTTTCAAGGCCGGATCGAAAATCTTCTTCCTATCAGCACGGTAAAACCCATCATGCTTTGCACCACCGCAAATGAGGACATCAGCTGGGATAACAGCAGGATTTTTTACGTAGAGACGGATGGGGAGAAGAGCCGAGGAAGCTGAACCGGGGTAATTACGTGCACCCCCCGGGAGCTGAGGGAACTCTTTGATGACTTTGTTCGTTTTTGGGCTAAGAAGTATGGAACGGTTGTTGGCAAAAATGAAGAGGTTACCATCAGTGTTTAGCCAAACAAAAGGGTATAAATTGTTTTCCTCTGGATCGTCTGTTTGTCTAAGAAGTTGAGAGTCGTAGAGTTTCTTGTTGTTCATTCCTTCCGGGAGGATATACTCGTAGTTGAGAGCGTCTCGGCCTCCAACTACGATGAAAGTGCCATCAGGGAGAGTGGCTTGTGTTGAGTACCATCTCCTAGCAGCCAATGCTTTGGGATATTCCTTCCATACACAGTCTTCACAGTTGACAAGGTATCTCGCCGTGTTTGCTCCTCCCTCAAAACCTCCTGTGCTAACCAAAGTCCCGTTTACGGTTAAACCTCCTGACGAACACCATGTGTCCGTTGTAAGCTGCCATATTTTTCCATTATATATTAGTCCATCATATCAACTATTACTAATATTAATCAAGTCCAAAACATTAATGTGCATCAAGACCCAAAATGTTTTTTTTTTTCTTGATAGAATTATTTTAAAGTTTTTAAAAAGTCTCATATTTCGAATATTGAAACATTTACTCATATATATTTGTAACCATAATAAAGAGATAGTTTTGTTACCGCGAGAGGCTTGACGTTTCCGGTTTCGATATCGACGAGGACAGAATGAGCCCAGCAATCAACTTTATTAGTCTTTTCGTCGTAAACATGGCAAGGTACTCCTGGAGGGAGCTTGATCTGCGAGATTCTCCAGATGGTTGCGTCGTAAAACTGGACTTTGTTGATCAATGGCATAAGAATGGCGTGCATGGCTGATACGCCTGAGTTCTTAAGGAACAATTCCCATTTGCCTGGCCAATTCATCTCAGCTCCTTCCGGGATGGCGCCGCCGCCGCCGCCACCACCATTACCTTTAGGTTTTCTTTCTTCTGCTCGTGTTCTTATCTCGGCGGCTTCACGTCTGTTCCCGGTCTCGGTGCCGTCTAATGAACCATCGTTAGCTGAGCACTTGTTTTGCCCTGACTCTGAGAGGTCTGGTTCAGGACTGACGACTGCCTCGGAAACGATTGCTAGCAAAACAATGAAAGATAGTTTCCATAATAGTCTCGTTGAGCCTCTCATTTTTCGTTTTAACTTTATGATGTCTCAGGTTTATTTGGAAGATGAAACTCATACATTTTGGGAATTTATAAGTTTTGACTTGTGTTTATTTTTGACATTTCTATTTTTTTGAATGAGTGGTTAGCTTAAATATTTCTTCCACTCTTTGTCTTTTTTTTTTCTTTTGTATGGTTGATATTTCGATATTTGTTTTCTCCCATACACTTGGAACATACGAAAATACATCCCAAAATCTAGGAAACCATGTATTCAAGGGTAAAGAATGCTTTTTTATAAGAAAAAGAACTCAAATTCGAACTGTTGAGATTGCTTTTTCTAATAGTTATTACAGAATCTGATGGTCAAGATTGTTCGGATAGAGGTTTCTGTAACACCTTCAACTTTTGTATGCATTTACTTTTTTAGAATTTAGCTCATATATATAGATTGACTTTCGGCCAAAAAAAACACCTTTACTTCTAGCCTAATTGGAGTAACCAATTATGCCATTAATTCGTTGGGGTGGAATTTTAATTCATAACTCAACCGTAAAACTCAATCTTATTTAAAGCATATTAGTATGTATCTACAACAGTGACCAACATAGACAGTGTGAGGGAATAAGTAGTGAGAACGGAAACACAACATTTATGGTTTGGCTAGCAGAGAAATCTCAATCTCTTGAAGTGTTTTTCCTTTGGTTTCAATCACGTTCCGCTTCACAAACATCACCGCCATTAAACAGAACATCGAGAACATCGAGTATAGTAGCCGAGGTCCAAGCTTCTCAAGCAACCTCAGAAAGAGTAAGCCCACAAAAAAATTTATAACCTGTCAAACGAGAACCAACAGTGTTAGGAACGAAAACAGAATCGAGATAACGAAAACAAAGAAGTTTCTTATTTACCCAATGCACAGACATGCAGAATGCCATAGCTTTTGCTCTGATTCGACTTGGGAAGATTTCAGGGAGGAGTAAACCTGGTACTGGACCAGCTCCGAGGGCAAACGTTAGCACAAACCTATATCAGAAATGATAATTGTATTTAGAACCAAGAAAAAACAAAGATATGGAAAACAAATTTCAGATTCCATCAAACACTTACACAAGAGTGCCACCCACTGATAAACACAACGCCGAAAAATGTGGCAAGTACGAACTTGTAGCACCAACTTGAAGTGCCATTGCTAGTGCCTATACACATGAGAACGATAAGTGGGCTCAGATTCACGATCAAATCATTATTAGCATTGATAAAAAAGAATAAAAAAAAACACACCATGCCAATAAAACTCCAGAGGAGAAGAAGCTTTCTTCCTACTTTATCCATCAACACCATTGCGATTAGAGATCCTGATGATCAGAACAGTGTTACAATCCATATAATTGAAAAGACTGAGGGAAAACAAAAAAAAAATAGAGGAGAAGGTTACTATACCCAAGAGGTTTGAAATTCCAACGAATATATTGGCCATGTCTGATGGTACTCCGGCACTTTTGAAAACGGTAGAAGAGAAATAAAAAACAGCATTTATACCAGATAGCTGTTGCAAAGCAAACAGGGTTGATCCAATAAAAACAACTGCAAAAGGAAAAAGTGAATAACAAAGTACAAAACAGGAAACAAGTGGACACAGCATACATGTTTGCAGTTACTTTCTCGGGAAAAAAAAGTTATATACCTCTTGAATGGCGACCATATAGCAGCTCTGAGAGGCTCACAACATCTGGCTCATCCGCTCGGTCTACTTCGAGTTTGTGTAATTCTGCCATTGCTGTTTTCACATGAGACCCTCCGAGCAGCCTCTCAAACTCAGCTTCGGCTTCAGCTATCTTCCCTTGCTGCATAAGACGATGAGCTTTTCAAAGTTAATGATCACAAAAAGAAAGGAACGAGTAGCAGAAGTGTAAAATCAAGTGCAGTTTTCAGGCTCAGCAACGACAAAACAATGGTGTAGATTTCACAATTCTCTGTGATGCTTATGCATTGTAACTTGTGAGTTGTGAAGCAGACCTTGAATAGCCACTGGGGAGACTCGGCACAGAAGAACATCCCTAGAGCTAGTGCTGCAGCAGGTATCGTTGATACCCAGAAACATACACGCCACCTGTGTACCATGACGACATATATGATCAAGTTCATAAATTATTCTTTACAGAGTCATACCAAAAATTGCTTCTACTAAAGATTATGACAGATTCTATAGAAGATGATAATTTCTTACCAACCAGTGATGTTATGGACTGGGATCCCTATAAACAGGGCACCCATCAGTCCCAGACATGTAGCTATCTGTATAAAGCTTCCATATGTTCCCCTCACAAAAGCTGGTGATACCTACTCAAATATGGGAAATTTGGATAAGTCAAGCGGCTCCAAACTTGTTGCAGAGTACGATATATAATCAGTGCTTCGAACTCCTGCGTTGATATACCTCTGTCACATAGAGTGCTGCCACCGGTGGGCCAAGACCCATGCCAGTCCCAACCAAGAATCTTCCCAAAAGCATGACAGCTAAGCTGTTGCTAACCCCACTGCGAAGAACACATTTTAGCATAAGCAGCAAATCAAACAAATGGAAATAACGTCAAATTCTGCTAAAGGATCATAAATTTGTTAAAAGAGCTACATCCAATACACATGCCACATCACAAAATACATATTACCGAGTGGACTGTAAGTATTTTCTCAGAAAAAAAAAAAAAGAAGAAAGAATCATACTCTGGACCTAACATATTGTACCCTGAAACAAAATAGAAACAATTTCTTAAAACAGAGCCTTCTACTTACGTACTCTTAACAGTCACCAAAAATTTGCAGGCATCAATTCTCTCTCTAATCAACCAATCTCTCAAAAGTAATAATATTTGCTCAGTTGGAATTTTATTACAATAGCTTTTGCATGACCAGTTCGCAAGTCTAGCCAGGATTCTCACAATAGGAAATTTCTGAAGGGGATAAGAAGGAAAAAAATTACCTCACAAAAGCACCCAAAATCATAGGCAGAGCACAAAGTTGAAAGGCTCTCCGGCGACCAAGTCCATCAGCAACTCCCCCGCTGAATAAAGATCCGATGAATGCGCCAAAGAGACAAACACTAACCACCAAACCTTCACATAAGAAGCAACAGAGATTACAACAACAAAAAAAAAGTAAAAGTGGGGATGACTAAGTGACAAAATGCCATGAAGTAGTAATACCTTCTGCTAATGTATCACCACTAAAGCCAAGGTCAGAAGAAATGCTTTCAAGGGGTTCATTAACAACTCTGTGACATTAAAAAAAAAGTTAAAGACAATCTAACACAAGGAATAATAACAATCAAAACAAAGATGTATAAAATCACACAAACCCTAAGTGGTAGCCGAATAAGAAAGACGAAATCGTAGCCACTAGGACGTGTGGAAGAGAACAAATCCATGGAGGATTTGTGGTTTCCGTTTCCTTGTCCATATCATTCTGTAAAAGTCCTGAAAATATTGAAATTGGAAGATTGAAAAAGACCCCATCAACACAAATCATAGTTAAAAACTTAAAAAAAAAAAAACAAACAAGTTGCTACTTTTATACGAAATTGAGATTTTCAGTAATGAGTTATACAATCTGTGCATGTTCCCTTTACCTAAGCTATCTTCGACATCAACCATTGGTGAGTAATCTCTCGATGACGTTCTCTTGTACATCGAAGAGGACGTTTCTCGTTGCAAACCCCACATGCGGCAGCTAATTTCGTAGATCGCTTCTTGATTTTCACTGTGTAATGATTCAGATTCGAACCAAAATTTAGAGAAATCGTTCAACAAAACAATAAAACACCCAAGCAATCCAAGCTAAAATCATTAGATGCAGCGAGAATCATTACCAAACGCAAATACGAACGATTTTGGATAGAGCGAAAGACGAAAACGAGGAAGAAGAAAGGTAGTGAAGCTTATCTCAATCAAACTAGGAATCGACGATGAAATATTGAGAGAAAACAGAGGTCACAGATGCTAATTTAGTAAAAGAAGCTTCGCGAGGAAGAAGAGAGAGCATCTGTGAGCGTGAGCGGAGGTTGCTAAAGTGCGCTATGGTTCTTAGATGGAGACAATACGACAAAATGCTTTGCTTTGCTTTCTACTCAAATTCCTTTGCGTAAATTCAACGGGTTGGAGGAGATATGCACGTGTCACCTCTATGCCTCATGAAAAATTTGCTCTATGTTGATTTTTTCTTTTTGTCGGTTACATCATAATTACAAACAATTTCATTTTTTTCTTCATCATTCCGTTGCCCTGAAGCCTTTTGGCTCTGTAAAAACTTGAAGAAATATAAAGAATAGGATAGCCACTGATTAGTAGTAATGCATCAATAGAAAAAGTATTGGATGTTGTAATAGATCAGAGAGATTTGTGATGGTGACATATCCGGTAGATATCACAGTCAAAGAAGAGATAAAAAAATAAGCTGCTTATTCCATTGATTTAATGACATGATAACTTAACTAATCATGGGTAATGTTCTATACACCAAAAATAATCTTTCTATACATAAAAATAAAATTTTTATACAAAATATTTTTCAGCTACTTCCTAATAAGCTAATACTGCTTATCTGAATCTCAGATCCGTCTACAATTCAATTCAGTTCAATCTCTACATCCATATTTTAAGGTTCAACAATTTAAGAATCACCAATTGCATAACAAGGGTTCTATAAGAAGGTTAATGTTTTTGTCGATGGAAGGAATTAAGAGAGAACGAACAAAGCCGTAAACGAGTTGAGGTTATCAAAGGTGGAAAAAATCGAGATAGATGATAGATTTTTGCTGGAGGAGAATCAATGAATTTAATAAATAAGAAGAAAAATAAGTTTGAAGGTGGAATCCCACATGAATTGGCTTGATGGGGATCTTGGGTTTAGGGGATGAAGGAGTTGCTAGACAATAAATCTTGCATCGCCTCTCTGTGTAAAAGGAGAAAAATAGAACAGAAGAGATGAAAAAGAATAATGGTATATGGATGGTTAAGATTAAAGTTGGTATTAATATATAATATATAGGAAATATTAGTTTCAGTTTATTTTTTAGTTAGTTTGTTAATTATATTTTGTTTGATGGATATTTGATGCAATTTCCCAATCTACTATCTGCAGTTATTAATTATAGATGTTTATTAAACTTTTTTTTATTTGAAAAGGTAAATATTTTGTATTTCTTACGTGTAGTTTTACTTTTTTCATTTTTTTCTTAATTTTATCATCCCTGACAATTTAAACTATTCAAAAAGAAAATCTAAGTAGTAAATTAATAAAAATCAAAATTATAATTATAATTACAGATAATTTATTAATATGTATGAAAAATATAAACATCTAAAAAAAAAGAGAAGGAGTAACTTTTTTACAGCAAAGAGTAAACCGTTCTATACTTCTATGAATGACTATAGATACATCTATTTTTCTGAGTTTTATTCACAGAAAAGAAAAAAATTTTACTATACTTATTTATGTTAAAAAAAAACTTACATATAAGTTTTGAATGGTAACAAAGTAAAAGCGGATTTCAACCAAAAAAAATAAAAAACGTTATATAGTTACCAATCAAACTTTTTGGTATAAAATTTGTTTTTTTTTAAGTTGCAGTTTACTGTTTTACAAAAAGAATAAAACGCTATACCGCTATTAAAATTAAAACATCCTCTAACTCATGCGCTCCAAAGCAAAAACCGCTGTATATAATTTTTTTTAATTAATAAAAGTTACTTTATATGACCAAAAAAAAATCAAATTCTCTCATTTCCTCCCATACATAACTCTTAAAAAATTATATAAAACTCTTTAAATAAAAAAGCAATTTTAAAATTAATAGTAAAAATAAATAATATCATCTTTACAAATCAATTAAACTCTAATCAGAATTTGGTTAATTTCAATTTGTAATTTATACTTAATCAATAAATTTATAATTTATAGTTCATTTATATATTGAAAATATTTCTTTATCAATACAAAATAAATAATTTAATTACAATGATACTAATTATTTATATATATTTATTATATATAGTTTATAATCTGTATCGCTTGTTGTCTTGTTCATCATTCAAACATTTTAATATGGATCGTAAACTATGTTTTCACCAATCAAACATTATTTCGTATTACTTATTATATATGAATCGCACTTGATCCGCAAATATATTTTTCTATATATACCGCAGTTGAACCATACCATAATACTGTTACATTTTTTGTTAGCACACGCACGACAAGTTGAAGTGGCTCTATTCACAAAAATATATAAAATTGTCAGTAAGAGTTTTTTTTGGGTAAAAATATTAAAATTATATTATCAGTTTTCAATTTTTGGCAGAATTATAAGAGAAACAACTTAACAAAAGAGTTAATTGTCAGCAAATTTACCCTATTGATTGGCCATTTACCGCAATATATCCCACAAGTCAAAGGTGATTGGCCATTTAAATTTGCCTCTATTAATTTTTTATTATCGTTGCCGACATAAAACAAACAAAAAAAATATACACGATCACAAGTTTTACTTTGTTATTATAATGTTTTCCCCACATAGTATCTCTATTCCAAGAAAATCCATTGTCAAAGCTATCAAGTTAGCCACCAATCCATAAGACAGCATTTACAAACACTACTAATAACAGCTTTTCTTCCTCGTTTCTTCTTCTTCTTCTCAACTCTATAAACTACTCACTCTTAAAACTTCACAAATCTACAAACTATTATTAAAACCTCTAAATCCACAGTTTTTGTAGTTGCCCCTCAAGGCAGCGCAAACAAATTGTCATATTCCATATCAGCTATGTCGAACAACGCATCATCATCATCATCAACTGTTCCTAATGTCTCTGTTTTCCCAAGCTCAGCCTGCAAAAACATTCATTCAAGTATCAACATTCATCATTCCAATTTCCAATACTGACTCAGACATCGGATAAGCTCATATCACATTATCCTAACTTATGTATAGAGAAACATTGAAACGAGTCCACCATGATTATTAATAACTTTGTATTCATCACTTGCAAACAACACTCACCTTTGTCTGACAGTATCTCTTGAGCACACGGTGGTATTGCTGGCGAGCCTCTGGAGAGTTAGCCATCGACAGAACACGAGAGAAAGCCTCGTTCACTGCCCCGTCTACTTTCTGCTTGCGAAACACCTTGAGAATGTCTTCGTCTTCACTGTCCTCTGAGGCTTCTACGTCTTGCCTGAACCCTCTTAGCCCTGCCCCTTTTCTTCTCCACCTCAGTACAATCTTGTCCAAAACTCCTACCGCCCAGCAGATTACCTTGTAATGCTTCCTTATTTGGTAACCTCGAACATGAGCCTGCAAGATAGAGAAGAGAATAAAAAGCTGCAAGAGACGCCAAAAAAAGCTATTGGGAAACAACTATCTTAGCTGTTAAAAGTACCTGTATCTTTACAACTTTCTGGCGAAGCTCAAGAAACTCTTTTCGGCCTTTATAGCCACGGTACTTCTTTTGGATAGATAAAGCTGCTGAATGGTAGTTACGAGCATTTCCAAACGCTAGCTTCGACATGGCTGAGATACCTTCGATATCTGCATAGATCCCGTACTCTTGAAAGCAAGCAGCCATAGCTGCTTCTCTCTGTTGACGCTTTCTAAACGAATGTGCACGAAAAGCTGCCTGGATTCTTGCAGCTGCTTGAGCTGCGTTTCTCACTGCAGCAAGTGTGTCTTTCAGTGAATGTGGATCCTCATTACCTGGAGGAGTACTTCGTTCTGAGATGGAATTCACAGTTATCTCTGCTTGTTCTTGAGCAGAGTCTTTAAATGTCTCGCTTTCTTCAAGTGTGAGCGATGAGAGATGGTTTGTTAACGCCACCTCTGAAAGATAACCTGCAAGACCCTTGTGGCCATAAGAGGCAGCTATTGAAGCTGCAGTTTTACCAGCCGGGTCTTGCGCAGTGGGATCAGTCACTGCTCCAGCTGATGCCCCTGAAGCTATAAGAGCAGCCACCATTTTTTCACTGCCACAGCAAAGATAACATTATCGGTTTTATTAGATTCATTTGAAGCTAATTTTGTCTTAAATGTTGAAATGACGATGTTGGTCTACTCTTTATAGGCTGCTCACCTCCCAAATCTTGCAGCCCAATGAAGAGAGCTCCATCCGTTAATATCACGAAAATCCACGCTGACTCCATGACCAAGAATTGGATAGAGTGCCCACTCGAAGCCAAGGCCTGCCACCATATGAATAATGCCTTGTTCTTGCTTTGAAAAAGAACAAGATGTTTGATCTTGATCTTGGGATCTTGAAGACAGCCACGCATCCAGCTTGTCTTTAAGCAGCTCCTGTAGAAGCCAATCAACTGTGCTTGATGATATTGCAGTGCCATCTAGAGTCGTTTCCATGACATGGCACCATTGATCATCATCAGCTTTTAGTTTCTTCAACAGCTTATCAACGGTCGGCTCTGAGTTACTTTTTCTGTCCGATAGAAGTGTCTGCACAAACCTTACAAGTAATGAAAGCTCCTCTGGACTGCGCCTAGGGCAAGATGTGTCAGGCTTATCACGATACTCAAATTCCCTTGTTTGACTACACGAGAGTCGATCTCCAGAAGTAATGCATAACTTGACTTTTCCAGGGCCACGTGGAGGGGCTTGGCACCGAATAACACCTTCCTTAATGATCTCAAAAGGAACTTCATCACTCCCAAACATGCAAGACCATGTAGATTCTGTTGGATCACAGAGAAATGATCCAATGATTATCACCTGCATTGTGAAAATGAAATTTCAAAACGGATAATTTAAACTGATCACCAACATTTGTTCTGACCAGGCAAGAAATACATGTATATCAATCTTGAGAGTAGATTTATGCACTCCCACATACATCAGAATCTCAACGAAATATTAAGGATGGTGGAAAGAGATAAACCTTTGTAGTTTCATTAGCGTAACCCCACTCTGGTGATATGTCATGGATAGTAAACTTTTGCTTATGTGCAACTGTCTGTCTCATTTCTTGATTGAGAGGCAGCCCGATTTTCCCTTCAACATCCATCATTCTACAGTGCTTGGCATTATTCTCCGGAGCTCCCAGCTCAGGATAGCAAGCAGGATGTTTGAAAGAAGCAAGTTCTTGAGGCAATAACGATGTAGCTGAAATTTAAGACAACTATCAGAACTGACCGACGCTTAAACAAGGTATGAAGCCTAACAGTATTCCTTAGAGAATTAGATGCCATACATGGGTCACCCTGATTGTTGTAACTCCACTTGGAATCTTCCTGCATTGCAGATAGCAATCCTTTCGCAGAACTTGGTGTGCTTCCCTGCTTTTAAGAACAAGTAGATAAATTCCTAGTCAATAAACTTTTTACTTGTTAGTTTGGAAAATCTCGTCAGATGCTATTAAAGATTAGAAAACTAACTAATAAATACAAGAAAGTCTTCCTTGCTTAATCCCACATTTCATTTCAGTCATTTAAATATATGAGAGTGTCACCTCAGAGTTAAGAGCTGTAGAAGCCTCACATGCCTTCAGCACATCTTTCCAAGATTCAGACTCTTGATCGCCACTACCTCCTTTACCACCTGTTACTAAGAAGAATGTTTTTTACTCTTCCTAATAACTAAATAACATGCTTCAACTCCGCGCATAGACAACATCATACATTGACAAACAAGTGCTTTTTACTCTTCCTATAACTAAATAGCATTCTTCAATTCCGCGCATAGACAATATCATACAGAGAAAAACAGCCAAGAACGCAAGACAAGACTTCAAGGGCATGCTGAAGCTACTTTATATAAATAACTAAATTGTAGATAGTCCAAAAAGCCTGCTACAGTGAGGAAACAGATCAAAAAAAAGACTTGAGTATCCAAAACCAATGCTGAATAACTTTGGCGTACCTGAATCGTTCTTTACGAGCATCAGATTGTTAGAATGATAATCGGCTCCAATATACCCTCCGTAACATCTCTCTAGTCTATTATTCTCTGGTCTCTGATTTACACTTGCTGGTTGAGCAAACTGATCGATGTCCCTACTAAACTCTAAAGATAGGAGACTATCTAAACTTTCATTTTGGGTATAGAGTGAATCTATAGCATTAGCATTATATTGGGCTCCAACATACCCTCCGTAACTTCTCTCTAGTTTGTTATTTTCTGGTCTCTGATGTACACTTGCTGGCTGAGCAAGGTGATCGATGTCTAAATATAGGAGACTATCCAAGCTTTCGTTCTGAACGTTGAGTGGATCTACAGTATCAACGTTATCATCACCAAGACTCAGTTGTTCCTCAAGCCTCTTTATAGCCTGCCTGTTTTCAAACTCATAAGAACTTCCACTGCCTTCCGGTGTCTCAACTCCATTACTCTTAAACACAACATCAGAGTTAACCTCTGCAATGCCTGGAGAAGTAGATGAATGCTGCTGATGTATGTCAGTAGAATCACCAATGTAGTGACTGTAGCTTGCATTCTGAGTCGCAATGGAGCTTGGACTTGAAAAGAAAGTCGCAGGATTTGGTGAAAACTGCAACATATGTCCACTAGTTTGTTTTCCCTGAAAGAGTTAAAAGCCAACCTTAACGTCATACAACGAAACCGAAAGCTCCACTTATAGTGTAACATATATTGGTAATCGGAAAAAATCACCTCTTTTCCCTCACTTATATCCCTGTAATGAACAAGGACAATATGTTCGTATTCCCTGAGATAAAGAGCAACAAACATCTCACTCTTGAGTAACTTGTATACACGTCAAAAGAGAGGGTATTTGTGTTAAAAAAAATCAAAACTTTAAAGTCACAAAAGTATGAGTACATCACTCACGGATCAAGCATCCAGTAGATACGCCTCTGAAAAGTAGGGTCTTGCTCGGCATGTGCATAATAACAATTCAAAGCCTCGGCGTTACCCACCTGTTCACAAAACACATAAAAAAGAGCCATTAAAAAACCTTGAGAACATATCTAAAGTGTAAAAAGTAACTTGGAAACATGTACATCAAGAAAAGCTCCCAAATACAACCAAAGTACTTAACCACTAGCAACAATTTTGAATTTTAACTATCTTTAAAACCTGCTTAAACAAACCTTAAGTCGTTCGTGAGCTTCTGCAATAGCTCTCCCATCCTTCTTTCTCTTCCATTGATGACCATCTTTACGGAAGAACTTAAGAACCCTTTTATTGAAAAGAAACAAATTCCCACCTGTTGACAAAAGTCTCGAATCAAAAACCAATTTCGTTCATATCAAAAACCAGTTAAAAGAAAGCAAACTTACTTGTAGGCTTTTGAGGTGCTTTATGCGTTAACTGATATCTTTCATGATTCTGCAGTATGAAGTGTACCTCAGGCGGTTTCAACCAACGAGCCTGAGCTTCTTGGTACAGAGTTTTAATATTATATTCTGAAAATTTGACACAAAAAAAAAAAACACGAAAGATCTCGCCTTTTAGTCACCGGAATACACAAAAGAGGAAATGGAGAATAAAAAAACCAGTATTGAGTTCAGAAATTTACCGGGTTGCATAGCGATTTCAGGGAAGAAGTGAAGTAAGCAATCAATCAATCTAAGACGCTCGAGACAAACATGAGGATCAGTTTTACTAGGCTGTTCGCAACGATCAGGATAAGGATCGCACGTAAGAGCCAAGTCGGTAAAAGAGTACGGAAGACAAAGAAGGTGTAAAAGTTTGACTATGAACTGACCAAGATTCTCTGGGAACAGTTGAGGAGGTTTCCGACAGATAGCCACGAAGATGAATACAATGCAAGGTAAGGCTATGATCCTGTGTGACGATCCCTAAATACTAAAGCAAGTCTATTGGTCGATAATAATTGATAACCACATGTCGAATAATAAATTAATTTAAAAAGCGACTATGCTGAAAGTACGGTTTGATCCCCGACTCTTGTTTGACTTTTAATTATGTAGAAACTGGAGAGAGAGTTGAGGGCACGACCAAAACTATCAAATTGCTAGTAAAAATGTTGGGGGTAAATTTGTCATTATCTTTTCAACCTTTCTTCGTCTCATCGGATCCACTAGGATTGATCTGATCAATTATGCATAATTGCATGATATTTGACTATTTTTGTAGGTTCTCAATAATTTGATAAGAGACAATAAAAAAAAGGTGTCCTTTATCAAAAAAAAAAATCAAAAAACTTTGTAATATAATATTTGATTACACATTATTTTTAAAAAATTTTATTTAATCAAAAATTCACAAAAATACATAATTAAAGTGCATTTTTAAAGATCGATTTGATTCTCTAATATATATAACTAAAATGGTATTGATTTGATAGAGTAGTTGATAGTTGTACTATTTTTTGGGTTAAAAGGTTTTCATTAATTCAAACTAAAGGAGTAATATATATTTTTTTGTGATTTTCAAACTCTGCAACTCGGTTTATTCACAACATTAAGAAACAAGTGAAGGATCATTTCTTATCGATAAGAGCTTTAGAAAATCACAAACATGATGGTAAAAATTGAAAAAGCTAAATTCAAGTTCAATCTATCATATTGATTTCAGTTTTTAAAAATATAAATTTTTGCTCGTCATTCTCAATGAGGGTCTTCTTAATTCTTGATACAATTTTTCTAGGATTATCACATTCTTGATCGGTTGATGGTTGATAGATCTTTGACTTTAATAAATTTGCGGAGAAATATGCTAAGAGATGAGTGAATATTCAAAGATCCTTAGACTCAAACTCTCGTGAATGACTTGAAACAAGAGGGTGACTTCAGCGGATAACAGATTTCGCGGTAAAAGGATGTTAAGGCATGAGAACTGGATTCTCAAAAATCTCTAAACCACTTAAACTACTTCAACGAAATCCCCAAAATGCTGGATTGAAGGCTGCATCAAGTACTGTGATCTGCACTTAAACCAAATATTTGTTGGTTAACCACCAAAAAATCAGAAATAGTTCATGAAGAACAAAAGAGAGAATTTCTAAATTTTTATTAAGGAAAAGTGAATGAATGAGATCTGAGATATCTACATCGTTTATAAAGGGGAATGAGTAGGCGAAAAGCCATACTCGGTAATGACAAGAAATTAAATGAACTATAAGACCAAAAATAAATGAAGTATTTGACTAAAAATAAAGATAGTTGGACTGATCCTTTGGCTGCCCTTTGATTGTCCCTTGAGCTTCCCAGCCAAATGTTCCTTGGAATTCTTCATGAGCTTGGGCTGAAAATGTGAGTCTAAGCTCATTGCCTCATTAAAACCTCTACCAGGAAAACACATTGGAACAAAATCGAGTACAGAAAAAAGAGTACAACAGACTTACACCTTACGGCCAATCTCAAGAAGAATCCACAAATGATAATGAGGTCAGAGCTAAGTGTTTAAGCTGCTCCTCACCGATCTGGACTTGTTCCTCCTTGATCCGGATTTCATTCAACAAACTTCGAACAGCTCCAGCAAGCTTCTGGGACTTAGACCGCGTCATTGGACCCTCAGGAATGACTAAGGCTGATTTCTAAACCTCCTCTTGTGCCTTTGGTTCCATGATCACATCATCCCCCCTCCTCTTGAAAAGATTTGTTCTCAAGTCTGGAACAAAGGGAATAATGTCAGCAACATAAAACTAGAACTTACGGAGTACTTACATTGGAGATCAATCTTGTAAGCATTGTTGTTGATCCGCTCCAAGACTGTGAAGGGTCCGCCCACTTTCGGTAAAAGTTTGGACTTTCTTTCCTCAAGAAATCGTTCCTTTCTCAAGTAAATCCACACAAGTTCGCCTGGTTCAAATATCTTCTCGCTCTGGCCCTTGTTTGCATGCTTTCGATATAGCTTCGTCTTGCGTTCAATGTTCTTCTTGGCCTTCTCATGCATCTGCTTGACCAGCTCAGCCTTTTTCTTACCATCCATACTTACACACTCACTCAAAGATAAAGGAGTTAGATTAAGAGGCGTAAGTGGATTAAAACCATAAACAAGCTGGAACTATGAAAACAATGTAGTAGAATGCACATCATGATTGTAAGCAAATTCTACATGAGGCAAACAATCTTCCCATGACTTTATGTTCTTCCTAATCACAGCTTGTAAAAGTATGGAAAGAGTCCTATTGACCACCTCGGTCTGACCATCTGATTGTGGATGACAAGTCATAGAAAAACAAAATTTTGTGCCTAACTTAAACCATAGGATCTTCCAAAAGTAACTCAAAAACTTTGTATTCCTATCCGAAACTATGGTCCTAGGCATTCCATGCAAGCAACAAATTTCCCCAAAGAACAAATCAGCAATGTTTGATGCATCATCGATCTTATGGCCTGGTATAAAGTGGGCCATTTTTGAAAATCTATCTACCACAACAAAGACCGAGTCTCTGCCACGTATATTCCTACACAGACCTAACACAAAGTCCATGGAAATGTCGGTCCAAGATGCACTAGGAATTGGTAAAGGAGAGTACAAACCTTATTTTGGCTTTTGGACTTGGCAAACTTGCAAGTGGTGCATCGACCGAAGCTCCGTTCCACATCACATTTTATATGAGGCCAGTAGAAATGGTCTTGTACGATGTGAAGGGTCTTGGCCACGCCAAAATATCCCATTAAGCCTCCACCGTGTGCTTCCCTGACAAGAAGATCTCGCAAAGATGTGTTAGGGATGCATAAACGGTTCACATAATACAAAAACCCATCATTTCGAAAATATTTGCCATTGGCGAATTTTTCACAAGAGAGAAAGACTTCCTGAAAGTCTGGATCATTTGCATAGGCATCCTTGATCATTTCAAACCCAAAGATCTTGGCATCAAGAGTCAAGATCAGTACATATCTACATGACAAGGCATCATCCACCACATTTTCTTTGCTTTGCTTTTGCTTGTACTGGATCACGTACGGGAACGCCTCTATGAACTCCACCCACCGAGAATGCCTCTTTTTCAGCTTCTGTTGTCCTTTGAGGTGCTTGAGAGACTGATGATCGGTGTGGATCACAAATTCTTTCGGGCAAAGATTATGCTGCCAAGTTTGGAGTGCACGGACCAAGGCATAGATCTCCTTGTCATAAGTCAGATAGTTCAACGTGGCTCCACCAAGCTTTTCACTAAAGAAAAAAATTCGCTTATTCTCCTGCATTATCACGGCTCTTATACCTACACCAGACGCATCACAATCAATCCGCATCAGGGTAGCCATCTCATCCTATGTCTCAATGGGTCGGTCCCCATTCCTTTTCCGGTTAGTCACGATCTGGTTCCACCAGTCGACCGCATAACCTGGAACTCGGTCGCTGCTAGATTAATCTTCTTCCTCTCCAAAAAATTCTGACACCCGAAAACTATATGAATCTTCTTTTCCCACTCCAAGAACGCATCAGGATCGTTCTTCCCATAGAAAGATGAGATTCAGAGCTTTAGACCCCCAAGGTCGCTATCGGTCTACCTATCTCTTAATCTGGGTCGTCACGCTCACTACCGCGGTATGGGTCATGGTTCGGCCTGCGTCTATCCTCGCGGCCACGTCTGGGTCGAACTCGGCTTCCACCCGAGGTATGACCATCGTTGTAAAACTGGTTTTCATCGATGATCTCTTCTCCGTCCTGAGCTATCCTCCGCTGGATTCGATCATCTCGGTCACTATGTTCAGCCCCTCGGTCCTCCTGGGCTTAGCTACCTCCAACCGCTCCATTCTCCGGCTCATCTGCTCCATCAACTTGGTAATCTGGGCTAGCTTGGCATTCATAACTTCTCGTTTTGATTGCCACCTAGTATGATTTCCCTGCCTGGCTGCCACGATCCGTGAAGAAAACTCGTTGCTGGTATGAGTGGTAGATCCTTCCGATGACATAAAAGTTACAGCAAAAAAAAAGGAAAAAACATATTAGAAAAAAATTCCTCACAAGTTTTTCACTCAGTCGCTCTTAATATCCTCACAACACTAGAAACTCTCTTTGGTTCTTGTAGAACTAGATCGAAAACTTGATTTAAGCTCCAAACCAAAACAAAATATCAAGCGAATTATAAAGAACAAAAAGAGTAGATAGAAAGAAAAGAGTTTGATTCAACCAGATTTATTTTTTCATTTTTTTTATTTGCTTTTCTTTCTTCTTTTATTTTTTGAATATTACAAAAAATAGATAAAAATAAGGCAGAATTTGAAAAAAATAAAAAAATGGGTAGATAATACCGATTTCAAGGGTGTGGCTCTGATACCACTTGATATGATTTCCGTAGGATTATCACACTCTTGATCGGTTGATGGTTGATAGATCTTTGATTCCAATAGATCCGCGGAGAAAGATGCTAAGGGGTGAGTGAATACTCGAAGATCCTTAGACCCAAACTCTCGTGAATAACTTGAAACAAGGGGGTGACTTCAGCGGATAAAAGATCTCGTGGTAAAAGGATGTTAAGGCGTGAGAAATGGGTTCCCAAAAATCTCTAAGCCCATTAAACTACTTAACGAAATCTCCAAAACGCTGGATTGAAGGCTGCGTCAAGTACTATGATCTGCACTTGATAAACCGAAGATTTATTGGCTAACCACCAAGAAATCAGATATAGTTCACGAAGAACAAAAGATAGAATCTCTAAATTTTTATTAAAGAAAAGTGAATGAATGAGATCTAAGATCTCTACATCGTTTATATAGGGGAAGGAGTAGGCAAATAGCCATACTCGGTAATGACAAGAAATTTAAATGAACTAAGACCAAAAGTAAGTGAAGTCTTTGAATAAAAATAAAGATAGTTGGACTGATCCTTTGGCTGCCCTTTGACTGTCCCTTGAGCTTCCCAGCCGAAATGTCCTTTGGAATTCTTCATGAGTTTGGGCCAAAAATCTGAGTGTAAACCCATTGCTGTACTTGGGAAAACCTATTGGGACAAAACGAGTATAGGAAAAAAAGTACAACAGACTTACACCTTGCAGCCAACCTCAAGAAGAATCCACAAATGATAATGAGGTCAGAGCTAAGTGTATAAGCTGCTCCTCACCGATCCGGACCTGATCCTCCTTGATCCAGATTCCATTCAGCAAACTCCAAACAGCTCCAGCAAGCTTCTGGGACTTAGACCGCGTCATTAGATTCTCCGGAACAACTAAGGCTGATTCTGAAACCTCCTCTTGTGCCTCTGGTTCCATGATCACATCAATTCGTGGTGAAGTTATAGACTTTGTGTTTCTTAGATATTGAAGATGGCCCCTGGAACATGTATCTCGTGGCAACATCAACAGAATTTTCAACTTCAAAGTTTCCTTTGCAGTTTGCTCCTCGCGCATCCTCTCAGTTGATTCTTTTTCAAGTTATTTTTGTTAGATTGTTTTTTTTTCTTGCTTATTGTTTATGTTTGTTTGATATAATTTATTTCAGTTGTTTTTGGTCTTTTCCATTTTTTGTTGTCTTTATAATTCTGTCAAAAATCAAAATTTGGTAATATAATATTGATATTTTACACACAAAAAAAAAAGAAAGTTGTAAAAAACAGTTTTTTTTATGTTCAACAAGAAAAATGGTTTTCTTTGGATTGAATATATTTTTAGATTTATTATTAAAAAAATAATGACTTAATAACTGGTAACTCAAAATATCTGGTTTAGAGGAAAAAAAACAGAGACTAATGACTATACAAAAATGGGTTTAAAGCGGAAGAAAAAACCGCGACGGAACACAGTTACATAAGACCGTCAACATTACCGCATTTAAATAATTCTATTCTATTAAAAAATGACGGATTAATTAGTGTAAGTCGACCAATCGTTATGGGACTATGTAATGCTATTATTTATATATTTATATGTTTATATATAAAGTTTAAAAGTTATCCAAACTTGTGAGTTTTAAATGTATGTTTATATGTTGATGAGACCATCCATAAATTAACTGATGGAGTATGTGTTAACATGATGTGATTTTATCATCCAACTTTTATGTGTGCGCAGGTTTAAGCATTCCATAATTTTATGAGTTGGGTTTTCTTCTGTTTGAGCCAACTTTCAATATCTTTTTGGGCATTTCTTTTGTCTCGTTCATATTTTTTGGTAGGGCTGGGCGTTCGGTTAACCGATCGGTTTCGGGTCGGGTTATTCGGTTTTTCGGATTTTCAGGTTTAGATTTTGAAAACCATTCGGGTATTTGAAAGATTTCAGTTCGGTTCGGTTCGGGGTTTGTCGGATTCGGGTCGGTTTGGATAATAATTTTGGAAACCGAAAATAAACCGAAAAAATTCGGTTTCGGTTTAATCGGTTTAAAATTTCTATGTAAATCCGAAAAATCCGAAAAAACCGAATTATTACAAAGAGAAACCGAAACATGATATAACAAAATCATAACTTCAAAGTCTTCAATTTAGAACTTGAGTGACAATCTCCCAAAATATCCATAGTACGTTCAAATTTTTAAAAATGAAAGCTAAAATCAACAAACTCCAAACCAATACATGCTTAGTTCATACTAAAAGAAATAATACCAAAAGAAAAGAACTAGAAGAATTCTGCCATGAACTCTAGTCTCCAACTCGTGAACTCCATAACAAGTCTAAGATGCATCTGAAGAAACAAAAACCGAACACAACTAATGTAAAAACAAAAAAAAATGACATAAGAGAACAAAACCATAATAACAATTTGATATTACTTACACATGGTTGATGGTAGAAGACTTGAAGTGATTGAGATATTGAGATTCAGTCTTCTTTTTCTATTGGATTTTCATACTCAAACTCTAGACATACAAATGAACAAGGAAAAAAAAATGTTAAAACATCTCAAGTGATAAATGAATACAAATAAACAGAGATAAACTCAACATACCTTTCATCAGCTTATCCAAATACTCATATTCAGAAATGATTTGCTCTTTCTTCACCAAGCCAGATTCACTCTTAAACCGAATTTCCTGCTTCATCCACTGCTCTGTACACATCAATACCTCCACCATATAATGTGTAAGACAGCTTCTATATGGAGTTATAATTCGTCCACTAGTGCTAAAAGCACTCTCAGAAGCGACGGAGGACACTTGCATCGCCAAAACATCTTTAGCCATTTGTGAAAGTATAGGATACTTAGAACTGCTTGTCTTCCACCAGTCTAGGACGTCATACTCTACACCAGCTATTGTGTCAGAAACCTCAATACTCTCCAAAAGATATCTATCTAACTCGTCCCTTGTATCATTCACTCTGGTCTCTGCAACCATCTCCTTGTAAATCGAATCCATCCTCTCATATCCAAGCCCCAAATCATCGTCCATCACTTCCATTCTGTCCTGTGATGGTGAGTGCTCTGATGATTGTGCCTGGGAGGATTGCGTGTTTGGACTTTTCTCATACCTAGAACTATACTCATCATACATTGCTCGGAGAACAATAAGGACAGAAGCATTGAGCTCTTTCGCATCTTTGCTGCCTTCGCCGTAGTCAGCCACCCATATGTCTGTTGTCAAGGATACACGTTGCTTGTTTGCTATAAAAATCTCCTTCAGAGCTCTTGTCCTAGTCACGTACATTTTCAAAATGTTCCTAGTAGCCGTCCTCCTCGATTGAGGCGTGTAGAGTTTGCATTTTTCGCAGAAATGCTTCCAAGCCATGCAATCAACAAAACTTAGTGGTAACTCCGCAAGCACAAGCATCTCATCCGTTGCTTCCCTGAATACTGCCTCAGATACTCTCGCAACACCTAGACCACCAGAAGTATTCAGTACACTCTGAGATTGTCCGTGACGTTGTATCTGACCATCTCTCCATGCTAGGAAGTGCTTGTAGATTGTAAGATGGTTCTTCAAACTCGAGGTCCCTGATGTTGTCTTACACTTAAAGACCTTGTGACAGTAGTTGCAAGTGCACCTGTCTCGGTCTTCTTTAGTCCTCGTGTAGTGCTGCCAAACTTCAGACCGAGGATCAAGAAGCTTCATCGGCTTCGGTGGCTGAGAAGCTGCGTCTTTTTCCATTTGCTTTCTCTTTCCACGACTCGCAGGTGTCGTAATCTCTTCTTCATCAACATCTATGTATGGACCATGCATGTTCTCTCCGTCGGTGTTAAATGTTGTTGGTTCAGATGATGAACCCATCTAAGAAAAATAAACCATAACTCCATCAGTTAGCCATCAAAACAAACATATAGAATATAGAATCTATGATCGATACAAGGAGTCCAAAGAAACCGAACCACAACAACATAAGCAAAAAAAAAAGCATATTTCAAATCTATAGTTATACTGAAATTCAAATACATCACAATGTAAGCAACAAAAAGAACTTTCCAAGGAATTAGAAAAAACAGAGCACAAATTGTTACTTCAATGTTTTAAGTCGATAGCTATAAAAAGCTTAACAAGCACATGGATTTGTTTAAATTGATTTTAAGTCAATAACTCAAAGAAGAAATCAAAGAAACATCGTTGTAAAATTTCACACATCAAACCAGCTGTAAGGCAGTAAGAGAAAGCAAGAGCAGCTGTTTTCCATGTGCAAACAAACGGACCAATAACATGAGAAAACAAACAAGAACTCAAAGAAAAAAATGAAAAAATATCTTCCAAAACTATACACCAAAGACAACAACATGTACGAGCTAGAGAAGCTTGGAGAATCCAAAAATAAAAAACACATCAAACACTTGAAGAATCAGCTAACTTTAATCGGAAAAAAACTTGAAGAATCAAATCAGCTAATTTGAATCCAAAACGAATTCAACAACAACAAACATGAAAAAAAAGATGGGAATAGAGAAAATCACCTGAGATTGAATTCTAGACGACTCAGAATTCGGAGAGAAAGGGTTTTGAGCTTGAGACTCCAGATTGAAATATTATTTATCCCCAAATCGATTTTAGGGTTTGAGAGAATATCGGGCAAGTTTGAGAGAATATTGGGGAAGAAAATATCTGAATCATCGGGTTTAATTTATGTTTTCGATCTCAAATTTTGAAGAATGGAATTTCGGTTTAATTTCAGATTTTGTTTGGTTTTTGAATTTAATCCGAACCGAACCGAAAACCGGAAGATATCAAAACTAAAATCTATTCGGTTATTTCACTTAAACCGAACCCGATCCGAACTCGAATTTTCGGTTCGGTTTCGGATAAAAAATTCGGTTCCGGGTTATGTGCCCAGCCCTATTTTTTGGTTTCGCCTTTTCTCAAGTTTTCAAGTTCTTTATCACTACTGGACGTATTTGCTTTATCGTTTCGGTGTCAACAACACTGATGGAATTTGTTTCCATGTTTTTTTTTTTTTTTTGGCATGAGTTCAATCTTTTGATCGATCAATTTGTTCACACATTTTATAACACCAAATCTTTTTCATTTTTAGTAAAATATTTACCATTTAGCAAAGAAAAAAAAGTAAGTGTAGTAAGTGCAACTAAAAAAATAAAAAAAAAACACAAATTCTCATCGGAGAAAGGGCATCAAAAGCATGTCTCTGCAAGATCTCTCAAACATTAAATTAATTAACCTCATCTCACGTGCATGGCCTTTAGATAATTGATTTTGGACAGTAAACTGACTCGTAACACACATGACACAACCATATCGCTCGCACTTATTAGCCTTGTCCTCTTCAATACTTCTTGTTTAAACAATGACCCACCATAAATGTTTAAATTCTTTTCTTCATCATCTTCTTTGGCTATTATTTGTACGGTACCTGGCAAGGTACAGAGAACGAAACAAAAGAAAACTAGTAAGGAAACATACATCATTGAAATATTAGTTATTACACGTACCTATCAATTTCTTTTAATCTTGTCCTTATAGTTTTCACGCATTACATTTCATTGCATGTGAGCATGTGAGTGAAAGTGACCCTCTTTATTTTCTACCTACTAACAATTGAAAATGCATACAAATTAAAACTGTGTTGGAAATTAATTAGAGTGTTAAGATTTTGATCCCAAACTCCGATCCCCACGAAAAGTAGACCTTTTGGAACATATGTCTAACATGGCAATATAATAAAACAGCTTTTGGATCAACTTTAAATTTCAGTTAGCATATTTTTCACAGTTTATGACAATGAACCATACAAAGATTAAACCGGAGCAGTTGGCGCGTTGGATTTCAAAATCTTCTGACTCTCCTCAAAGTATTGGTTCGGATGGTTGATACCAGCATCACACGATGTACCATAAATAGCTTCAAAGGTCAAGGTGCATGCAAGCTTTTAGTTTTGTAGAGTCCACATGCGCATATGAACAAGACCCCATTTAGTTTTTTTTGCTAAAAATGGGAAGAAAAGATTCAAGGTTTAGTGAGATATATAAACTCAAGATCAATCAATCACCTGATAATGTTTGTTCCGCACTTTATCCATTACGTCTTCCATTCCACGAGAGCTCAATCCCATTCGACCAAGTGCTGCTCTCAGGTTATCCTCACTGTCATTCATCAAAAAAAAAAAACAAATAGCACATTGCATTGAGATACCTTACTTTTAAGGTTCACCTAATGATTCACACATATTTACATATACTAATGTTTTTTTCTTTAGAGCTAGAAAAAGGCGAAGGGCGACAACTTTTGCTGAACAAATGACACGAAATCTATAGTGAAAGCTCAAAATGTTTGCAGCTACTAGTAACTGTTGTTATCCAGAAAAACTAAGATATGCGGTGTTGGTGGATAACACATCCTACTACATGAATTCTATAGCACTTCTCTTTTCTTTCACAGAAAGAGAAGAGTTTTCAACTAAGCAAATAACTGACCTGAAATGTCGATAAGGACAGCCGTGATGATCCCCAACACCAGGAGCAGATGAAATGATCTTTTGACAAGCATAAGGTGTATAATCCTGCAATTGCAATGTCACTTTGGTATCAGAAGCTTACATGATGAAAATGATCATTGACGCTTTTCGTTGACATAAAGAATGAGATATGAAACCATTAGCAACTTACTGTTCTCTTGCCTTCCTTCCCGTAGTTATGGCGAATGGAATACGCGTACTCTTTGTCAAATCTCTCAGAGCCAACCTAAGAATGATAAGTAAAAAGTAAGTATCTAGTTACTCAGTATTTACTTGGTTTCTGCAGAAAAAAGTCTACCCACTATCTCCTCATTCAAATTTGCTAGCACAGAACCTCTAGGAGAGACATAAAACAATTTAGTAGATAAAACATTTGCGATTCACGTTACCTTTTTTGTGAATTCTGCTCTCCAAAATGCTAGAGCGTCATCCAGTTTCAAACCCACACCCTATATGCCGATAGACAACTTCAGAGAGGTAAAGATAGAAGAAAAAACATGAAAAATATAAAGGAGCTTATTTACTAGATATTTGACCAATTGGAATTTTACTACTTCTAGCCTCAACTCTAGAGATATAAATCTATCTGAATCCTATGCATTCAGATGCGACTAAACTTGATAAGGGGGAGAGAGAGATTTAAATAGAAACCTTCAAAAATAGACCCAGTTGCATTCTTCCTCCATGTTTTAGATGATGATCTTCTCGAAGCTGTGTATAAACGTTCACATGTTACAGATGCACAGGAACAGGATATGTAATAGAAGATCTAAAAGCCATGAAGCAACTTACTTTTTCAAATAGATGCCTCATACAAAGGGGAAAGGAACTCTTGGAAACTTGATCAATATCCTTGAGTGATATGTCAGCGTACTCACTTGACTGTGAAGGCATATTAACAACGTCAGTGATCCAAATCTATGAATGTATATAACAAGTTTTAAAGGACGATCCTCACCTGAGAATAATCGGGACCCAAGTAGCTTGTAGATAACCCTTCTACTATCTGAATGATAAAGATAATATAAGTTAAGGAAACAGGAGACAGGGATTAAAGCAATTGATTTCAGTCCCGTGCTTACTGGAGTTAGTCTGTCTTTTTCTCGTTCTCTAATAGTAGTCGTCCATTTTCTACAACCAAAAAGAAAAATCTTGTTAATGAAATCAAAATTAAAGCGTGACAATATAAGAGGAACTTTTATATTTTCATATAACCATAATAACCTGTTTGTAAGAATCAGGGCCTTCGATATATGAGATCGAAATTGTGTGACAACCAGGGAAACCAACTGCTAGGAGAAAAAGAAAACTCGAGAGTTATCAACGGAGACACTACTAGCTACTGTAGAGAAGTTATGTTTTGAAATTGAAATGGAAAACAAGACT